GATCTGCCTGGCTCTGCCTCGCGAGTGCTGGGATTAAAGGCGTGTGCCACCACCGCCCGGCCACATTTTTTGATAGGTCTGTTTTGGAAAGAAAACTAAGATAAATGTAAATGGGTAAGAAGTGCAGCTGTGTTTTCGAACTCGTGATTTGGGGGTCAGATGCAGAACACTCACCTGCAATCTTGATTCTTTTGATGACCTTGTTGGTACAGTTGTTGACAGAAACATGGACAGAAATAGCTTCTCCATGGTAGTGAACCTGAACCAGGAGAAGGTTAGAAGGAAGACACCCAGACCTAGATCTAGAATTTTCATTTCCTTAAAACTGTTGTTGCCCTGACTCCCATCTCTGCCTACCCACGTTAAAACATCAGTAAAAAGAGATAGCAGAGCGGTTCTAATGTAAGGGACAGGATATGGCAGGGGTGGGGAGGTGTCACCAACCTCTCTGTCCATCCAGGCCTGGAGTTGTAGGGGCTGAGCCGACAGAAAGAAGCTGCGAATGGTCTGGGACCAGGGACCAGGGCCTGGTTCCGGGGCTGAAAACTGCACTTTCCGTATAACCAGCTGCACAGAATCGCTGAGGAGAGGCCAAGGGATAAGGTCAAAGTCTCGCTCTGGAACCACAGACCACCCCATACTATCCTTAAAGCTCTCTATTTACTTGGGGGTGGGTGGGCGTGGAGAAAGACTTTCCTCAGAGAACGCCTTGAATCCTTGATGTTCAAGGGATTGCAAACTGGCCCACTGGCTAAATCTGCCCTGATTCTTGTTTATCTACGGCCTGCAGTCTAAGAACCCTGATTACAGTTGTACATAGCTAAAATAAATAAAAAGCCATACTCTGTAACATAGATATTATATAAAATCCAAATTTCAGTGTCTATGAATTCAGTTTTGTTAGAATCCAGCAACATGTTTTCATTTCTATAGTATCTATGACTGCTCCAGTACAACAACAGCAGAGTTATGATAGCCCACAAAATGTCAATATGTGTCTTTTGGCTTTTCACATGTCTGCCAACCCATGTCCTAGAGTGAAAAAGAGGACTGAAATCAGAGGGGCTCAGAACAGGACATCCACGTTGGTAAGAATGACACTATAACTAGGCCCCTTTATGTCCTAAGAGCAGGGTCTGTGACAGAGGCTTAAGGCAAGGATTTGAGGAAGACCAAAGGGTACCTCTTAGGGATTTTCTCATCCGGATTTTCTGCACAGAAACTCTTCACTTCAAAGTCAACCCCACAAGGCTGGAAAGAATCAGGAACAAAGAAAATGCATTTCCAGTTCTATCCCCCCTCCCTTGCGGGACTACATGAAAATGTCTTCATCCCTTAGCTGTCCATTTCTCCAATCTTGTCCATCTGTCTCTCTTCCTATGCCCCATTGTAACTACATGTCTATCTGTCCACTATTGTTTGGATCCAAACTGTACCCTAGATGCCTAGGAATTAAAGGCTTGGCCCCAGCTTGTGTTTCTTTTCTTTTTGTGTAGCCCTGGCTGACCTGGAACCCACTGTATTGACCAGGTTGGCTTCGAATTCAACAGCATTCTGCCTATCTCTGCCTTCCAAGTGCTGGAATTAAAAATGTACACCACCACAGCCAGCCTAGCTGATGATTGGGGAGGTGGTAAAAATTTTAAGAGTTAGAACCTCTTAGGAGAGATTGAGGGAGTTTGGTTATTGCAGACACACACTTCTTGGTATTCTTTTTGCTTCCTGGACACTATGAGATGCTCAGACCTCTTCGACCACATGCTCCCATCAAGATGTACTATGATGCCACAAGCCCAAATCAACTGAGTTTCCATAGACTGAACCATGAGGGGGGAAAAAGACAAGAAAATGCCTTCCCTCCTTCGAAGTTGATCATCATTGGTGGAAAGGTGACTAGCTCACTCTCTTCCCTTACCTTTCCTGAATCTTCAGGCCCAGGCTGCAGTGTCACCGAGCAGGGCAGGTTAGCAGCCATCTAAGAAATCAAAAGGAGCTCAGCAAAATAGGGACACCTTTTCCTGTTCTTTTCCCTCTTAATCTTCTCTGGAAACTGCCCGAGACTTGAAGGCAGTACCTGAAGTGTGAAAGGGTAGGCATTGGCCCCGAGTTTGCGCAGAAGCCGCTCCTGTAAAGCTGTGAGGGGGCCCTGGATGCTGGTGGGTTCAGCTGGAGCCACTTGCTTGGCCTGTACGTAGAGATCTTTGCGGAATGTCAGGCCAATCACATCCAAGTCCTCACGGCCGTAGCGAAAGGCACATGTCAACATGACAAACACTGCAGGCGAAGGAGAGTGACTTGTCAGATAAGTGGTGAGGGAAATCATAAATGGGGGACAGGAGGACCCAGAGAGGCAATCTAATATAATCCCCAAAGTATGGCCATAAAGAAAAGGATCAATGCATTTGATTGCAGTAAATTTTTAAACATCTCTGTGTTAAAAGTTTCACAAAGAAAAAAAGAAAATCCAGAGTTAAAATGTTTGAAGCACATATAACAGTTTAGCATCTGGAATATAAAGAACTCTGGAAGGCTGAGGAGATAGTTCAGTTGGCAAAGAGCTTGCTGCGAAAGCATGAGGACTTGGATTTGATCCCGTGTGAAAAGTTGGGGCGTGGTAGCGGTACGTGCTTTCAATCCCAGCACTGCTAGGTGGAGACAGGTGGATCCCTGGGACTCAGTGGCCAGCCAGCCTAGCCTAACCAGTGAGCCCCAGGACAGTGAGCGATCCAATCTTCAAAAACACGGTAGGTGGTGTCTGTTAAGGAATGACACTCAAGGTTGACCTCTGGCCTCCACACATACATGAACAAAATAACTGTTACAAATCAGTAAAAAGTATGCCATTCTAAAAGTTTGCAAAGAATGAGGCTGGATTCTTAGCAGAAGCACAAGTAGAATGAATGGCCAATGACTTGTGTGGTCTCAGCAGTAATCAGATGCATTCAAATTAAAGCCACAGTGGGATAACAGTCCGTACAGATCAGACTGTCAAAAATATTACAGCCAGATAACACTAAGTGTTCATGATGCTGTAGCCCAATTGGATTTCACATGAATGACTGATGGGAGCTACATTAATATAACCACTTTGGAAAACTGGTGCTATCTAGTAAAATTGAATCTTTTCTCATCTTCTCTTATGAATGGGGTTAAGGCCCTTATTAGGGAAGCCGTATGTAGCATCCATCTTTTTTTTATTTCTGTTTCACCTTCTGCTGCCTAAGGATACAACATTCCTCCCCTCTGGAGGGCCCAGCAATAAGGCACAATTTTAGATGCAAAGAGAAGCCTTTACCAGAGAATTGAACATGCTAATCATTTGAACTTGGATTTGCCAGGCTACTGAATGGTGAGAAAATAAATTTCTTTTCCTTATATATCACCCAATCTTGGGTATTTTGGTATAGCAGCATTAATGGATTAATAAATATATTAACATTATTAAATCTAAAAAATGTGAGTAAAAAACTTCTAACAGCAGAACTAAATGTGCAGTGTGTTATCATTTATATAAAGCTTAAAACTGTATGTAACAATATAAATATTGGCTGTAGATATATAAATGTGAAGTATAAGTATATAAGCATCATGGAACAAATAAACACCAAATCTAGGAGAATGGTTAACTGGGTAGGAAAAAAGAGAAGGATAAGGGAGAGAGACACAAAGAAGGACACAGGAAGCTTCAGGTTCTATGGTCCTTTTCAAACCTAGGTAGTAGATATAATTTTTAATGCCTGAAATATTTAATAGTTTAAAAAAGCTAACAAGATTTAGGGTCAGGTACCAGCAAGAGAGCCCAATAGGTAAAAGTGTTTGTTGCACAGCTGGATGACTTCATTTTAATCCCTGGAACCCACCAAAAGCTGGAAGTGGTGGCTTGCAACTGTAATCCCTGCATTCATAAGGTGAGATGGGAGCAGAGGCAGGAGAACTGGCCAGAAATTCATGGGTCAGTTAGACAGAGTAGCAAAAACAAGCCAGATCTCAAGATGAAAGGCGGGGACTGACACACTCTAAAGTTGTTCTCTGTCCTCCACTCACACTCCACTCACACCTACATTGACGTGCATAGATTGTATACGTGTGTGCACATACAAACACGTAATAACAACAACAACGTTTCAAAAAGGATTTAGGGAGGGTCAGGCTACCTAGACTTTAATAGGACTTATCCAAATCCCTTGGTTTCCCTGGACCCTGTTAGTATAACTGGCAAAAAGAGGGCCGGAGCTGGGGAGACGGCTCAGTGGATAAGAGCGCTTGCTCTACAAGCGTGAGGACTGAGTCACAATCTCCAGAACCCGCATAAAAAGCCGGCCATGGCTGCACGTGCTTATAACCCAGCACTTGTAGGAAGAGACAATCAGATCCCAGGTCACTGGCCATTCCGCCTATCCAAAATGGTGGGCTTAGTTCAGCGAGAGACCCTCATCTCCACTCAATACGGTGGAGGGAGAGTTATAGAGCAAGACACCTGGAGGGCTCCTCTGACCTCAGCATGTGGGTGAACAGGCATGCATACCTGCACACTCACATGTATGTACTACTGTCATACATACAACACATACATACCCTCAATATATAAATAGTACTGCACTGTGAGCCATAACTCTATTATGTAGACTTCACAACAATCCTTAAGTAAAGAAAAAATTAGTCAATGGTTTAGGATTCCTTTCCTTCTACTTATTTGTTTATGTATGTATTTATTTTGACACAAGGTATTATGTAGCCTGAGGTGGTCTTGAACTTCTGAGGATATGCCACCATATCTGGTTTCTGTAGTGGTGAGGATTGAACCTAGGACTTCATGCATGCTAGACAAACATTCTGTCAACTAAGCTACATCCCTAGCCAGGTTCAGGACTTCAACTCACAACTCACACAGATCTAGACTCCAGAGCCTAGACTCATTTGTACCAAACTTCACTCAGAGGATGGTTATAATGAGTTAATGTATAAAGAATTCCTTTGAAGCCTAATGTGGTATTTAGATGTAATGCCAGCACCTGGGAGGTGGAGGCAGAAGGATCAGGACTTCATGACTAGCTTCAGCTACAAGTCAGTTTAAGGCCAGAATGAGCTGCATGAGACACCGTCTTTAACAAACAAAGAAAAAGAATTTTGTTTGGAAACATCCATAGATATAAATGATTAATGATTATTATGATGATGATGATAGTAATCTTGGCAAAAACGGACCAGGTATAAGCAAACTATACTTTGGAGCTATTATCTAAGATTAGGGGTAGACAGAAAGCCTCTGAAATATACTAACGGAGTGTGGGATGGGGTAGGCAGGTATACTCCAAAACTAAGGTGATAGGGATGGAATCAAGGAAAGGTGGAGAACAGAGATGGGTAACTTTAAGTCTATCGGGGCCTATCTCTTTAAAACAGAGAACTCTCAACAGCCATGCATGAATAGAAAGTAAGTTATTACATATGTTGTACATGATCCATAACTGCCTCATACACCAAAACAAGAAAGCAGACTAAAGGAATAGTTAGGAAGGAGGAGATCCTCAGGAATGGGGAAGGGTAATGGAGGATGAATATGATCACAATATACAAGATATGTATAAAAGTGTCCTAAGTGCTGGCCTCGAACTCACAGAGCACCATCTGCTTCTGCCTCCCAAGAGAATAGCCCTCCTGAAATGCTAGGCTTCACACTACCACCAAGGCAGACCCCTAGCCCCGCAAGCCGACTCTTCCCATCCCCTTGCCTTCTCAGTCTTTTGCTTTCTTTGAGCCCTCCTTTGCAGTCAGAAGAAGGCTATTTCCCAGCAGAGGGAAGAGATGGTGCTAAATCACTGAGGTCAAATCAGAGGTTAGGCAGCCCGGACTGGCCTTGCTGTTTCCATGGCCCATGCTAGGCACTCATAGCAAGGTACTCCAGGAACAATCTATCTGGTTGACAACCTCTCCTCCAGGGTCTCTAGACCCTTTCCTGTCTAGTTCCTTATCTCTTTCATTTGCCTCCTCGCCCTGCCTTCTTCAGACTGCTGCTTTTGGTGGCAGTGTGCTGATTATAGGGATCAAGGCTATGGCCTTTTTTTTTTTTTTTTTAGAACTACTCTCTTAAGTAGTTCTAACTGGCATGGAACTCACTATGTAGACTAGGCTGGTCTCAAACTCACAGGCTCTCATACATGCTAGGTAAGCACCCTACCACTTAACTTTCTTTTTACTTTTTATTTTGAAACAAGATCTCATTAAATTGCCCAGTCTTGAACTTGTTTGTGATCCTCCTGCCTATGGACCCCCATAGCTAGAAGTTTCTCCAGTCCTGCCTGGGCCCTGCAGTCCCATAGCCTGTTTATAAAATAATCATGCAGAGACTTAATATTATTTGTAACTGCTTGCACTAGCTTAGGCTAACTACTGACTAGCTCTTACACTTAAACTCAGCCCATTTCTGTTAATCTATATGTAACTGCCACGTGTTCCGTGGCTTTACCTGTGTGCCATTACTTGCTGCTCCCTGGACAGCAGGCTGGTGTCTCCTGACTCAGCCCTCCTCTTCCCAGAATTCTCCTTGTCTGCTTATCCCACCTATATTTCCTGCCTGGCCACTGGCCAATCAGCGTTTTATTAAACCAGTGTACAAAAGCATTATTCCACAGCATCCCCATTCCCCCCACTCCCAGTTACAGGCCTATATTACCAGATATGGTAGTAGCTTGCGCTTTTATTTTCTTTTAAAAGTCAACATCTACTCTAAATTTATCCATTTTTGTTTTAATTATATAAAGCATATACATACAAATTTATGAGTATTCGAAAGTATAATCAAAAAGAGAATTCAAAGCTCTACCACACATCATATTCCAGAGATAACTGCCATGCTATCTGTTGTGATGCGTTCCAAATTGTTTTGTTTCTGTAAGTGAACACAAAGTCATCTTAGGTACTTAGAACTTATCTCTCATTTCATTTTTGAAATTAAACTTTTTTAAATTTTGTGAGCACTGTACATTCACATGCAATTGTAAGAAATAACACAGAGGCCAGAGTGTTGTTAAACAGTAATGTATTCATATCCTCGCATCTTTTGCCTCACTTGCCTTTAGCACTCAATGGCATAGAATATGCAACTTTACATTAAAACATACATCTTGAAATAGAAAAGGACATGAGAAAATACGAAGAAAGTAAGGGGACATTCATAATGCAACAAAACATACAACTGGGAGTAAATTTCAGAAGTATGTATGATTTAAATGAATAATAATATAAAACCCTACTAAAGAGACATAAAAGAAAATTCAAAGAAAAAGAAAAAATATATCTAATTTCTGAGTAAATGTGCATTTTGGGGGGAGCTAAGGTCTGACTATGTAGCTCCATTGGCCTGAAAGTCACTATGCATGCTAGCCCAGCCTAAACTTGTACTTTGCTTCCTGCCTCAGCCTCTTAGGTGTTGGATAGATGTAGACATCATGCCAAGCAACATGCAATTTTTTTTTTTTTGTTTTTTTGTTTTTTTCCGAGACAGGGTTTCTCTGTGTAGCTTTGCGCCTTTCCTGGAGCTCACTTGGTAGCCCAGGCTGGCCTCGAACTCACAGCGATCCGCCTGGCTCTGCCTCCCAAGTGCTGGGATTAAAGGCGTGCGCCACCAACGCCCGGCGCAACATGCAATTTTTAAAGTAAATATTTCCTTCCCTACGCTATTCTGGGCATTTTTCCGGATGTGGGGGGTGGGAGTGGGGGTGGGGGAGAAACATTTAGATTTTAGAAACACGGTATTTGTTACTAATTCGTGGCTATACTGCAAAGTTTCTCTGATATTTGAAACTGGCCAGATTGCTTATCCATGGTGCTTAATCTTCGAGATAATGGTGGCTCTTTTATCCCTCAACATCCAAAGGCTGTTTCTAGACCATTCGTCACCAACTGGTTCTGAATCTTTTTTCCAGTTGAACCCAATTTTCAGTCCAGTTGGATCACAGTGGGGTTAATCCATAGTGAGAATTAAAAGGGAAAAATACAGAGGAAAATAATTCGGTGCAATCTTGAAGCAGAGTTCTGCTGCCAGAGTGCTGTCGCCTGCTGTTACTGCCTGTGCTTATTATTCCTTTGGAATTTTGTTAAAGGAATATTCAGGCAGTCTCTCTCTCTCTCTCTCTCTCTCTCTCTCTCTCTCTCTCTCTCTCTACACACACACACACACACACACACAAAACACGTGAAGAAAAATCCAATGGAATGACATATATCAGATCTTGCAAAATGGAAGCCTGAGGTACACTTAGGGTACAAAATATGAATAAACAAATAAATAAATAAATAAATGGAATAGTTAAAGACCTATACATTAGCATTTGAAAGTCAATAAACTTATGCAAAATATGGATTTTTCTGTGTATTGGTTCACTCCATAAGCAGACTAAGCTTAAATTGAGACCAGGAGTCAAGCAGGACCACCATATCAATAATGGGGAAAACCAGAAATTTTATAAAGACATTAATTTCAGCACATATGTTTGTTTTGTGTAATTTTGAAGAGTGTTTTATTTGTTCTCTAGAAACATAGTTCTTTTGAATACTCTTTGGGGAAAAAGAAACAGTCTTTTGAGATTTGGGACCTCTAAAGTGCTTACTCTGAGCTCTCTTTCCAGTTCTTTTTTATTTATTTATTTTTTGTTTTTGTTTTTTGAGACGGGGTTTCTCTGTGTAGCTTTGGAACCTGTCCTGGAAACTCACTCTGTAGCCCAGGCTGGCCTTGAACTCACAGAGATCTGCCTGCCTCTGCCTCCCAAGTGCTGGGATTAAAGGCATGCACAAAAAAAAAAAAAACCCAAAACCAAAACCAAAAACAAAAAACAAAAAACAAAAAAGACCAGTTCTTTTTCTAACCGAAAGAATGTGGCTACATTAGGCCGAACTTGCCGGTTGTCAGGACCTGGCAGACCAAACGTTAACAGTTCCTGCTGCTTCCTGTTTTTCTGATGCCCTCTGGTCTGGGCCTCTCGTTCAGGTAGCCAGCCTATCTAGCATGTGTGGCGTTGGGACTCCTGCAGCTTACAAAAACCAGTAAGGATTTCTACTTACTCTTTCGACCTTTTAAGTACTCGGGGTCAACAAGGATTACTCCATCTGCCGAGAAAGGGAGAAGTGGTACCCCGTCAGAAAAACTTGGAGTGTGAGTGAAACAGAAGTTGATTCCCTAAATGATCCCTCCCTTTCTCCCCTTCAGTTGGTCTCATTGTTCTGCATGCTCATGCCTGGTCTGTCTTTTACTTCCTGGCTCCCACTCCCGGCTCAGGCTCTTGCCCACTTGGGACTCACTAACCAATGGGCTCCACGGTGTCGGAAGCATCCATGAAGTCTCGTTTCCCCAGGTAGATAGAAAGCTGTCGAGAGACAACTTGCTGTATCAGTCTCACAGCTATCTTTGAATGCACTGTCCCGAGGCCCAGAGCCCAGCCCACCGAGCCCTTGAAGAACGTATCCACTGGTCTCCTTGGAGCTTTCGTCTGCTCAGCGGGACCAGGTTCTCTTACCTTCCCATTGCAGCTGCTCTTCTTAAATACGCTACGGGGGTGAACAAGCAGAAAGAGGAAGGGGGTTGGCAGAGCAGGAAAGAGGAGAGAAAAGAAGAAAAGAAAGGGAAGTTTGGGGAACAGAAAAGAGTCCTAGGATTAGAAGAGGCTCCAAGAGCACGAGATAGAGCAAGGGTCGAGATAATTGGGGTCGGGCCCAGAACTATAAACCCCTCCGTCCCAAAGGCCAGTACTCCGGTTTGGATAAGGAACAATGCACAGATGCAGAGCATTAGAAGGAATTCTTACGTGGACATGCTGGCGGAGGAATTTATGTTGAATCTTGCCTGAGATGAGCGAAGCTCAGTTATTTAGCCCCTATTTTCCTCATCACACTCCAGTCTCCCGCAGAGATGCACCTAGTGTAATAGAAATCTACTTCCTTAGTTACCACACCAGCACACAGTGCTTCCTGTCCCTTCCCAGGGCACCTCTTCAGTTACTCACTTAGCCTACCGGACAAGGGCAAAACACCTCCCTCCCTGTTTTCTCTAAGTCAGTCTCTGTCTCTGTCTGTCTGTCTCTTTTTCTCTGTGTGTTTGTGTGTGTACACATGTGTGCATGTGTGCATATGTGTGAAAGCCAGAAAGATGTTCGGTGTCTTCCTTGATTGCTCTCTACCTTATATTCTTAATCCTTTCTATGTATCCCACTTGATCCCACTCCGTCTCTTAAAATGTGTTTCTTGGGCGGCACGATACTGAACTTCACCTGGCACACAGTTGTCGGCAAGACATGTTTGTTAACGGTATGAATGAATAAATGACTGGACTATATCTCCGTTTGTCCCTGAAATGGATTTGACCCTGAGTGAGCATGCTTTTGGCCTCCAGCTAAGAAAAAAGAAAGGGGAAAAGGAGGAGGAAAGGGGTAGAAGCTGCTCTTGCTTTCTGGGTGTTGTCCTTATCTATCACCCTCTTACGACTTTCCTCCTGACTTCCCACCCTAGCCCTGCCCATCCCTCCAGGTGCTAGGGAACCCTAGAGAGGGAAATGTCTTTCTGGTGCTTTCCTTCAGTACAGATTAGGTCTGCTCAGAGGGATGAGTTGGGGGTGGTGGAAGAGCCGGAATTCTCTTATATCAGCCTGAAAAACCATTGCCTGCAGCAGGAAAGATGCCCCTCTCCTTCAGGAGATGCTAAAGGCAAGGCTGGTAGGCTTAGTGTGGGCTAGAAGCAGGGAGATTTGGAATATTACCTGAGGGAAGAGATGGAGTTTCCTTCAGTCTCTTGCTCTGGTTGCTCAGCTGGCCTCCCAGCCTCTTATATCCACAGCCCTCTGAATGTGGATTGGTGGGAGTCAGAGACCAAGAATAGGGTTGAGGTGGGTGGCATGAAACATTGCTATAATTAGCTCAGGGGCCAAGAGTTTGGAACACAGATTAGTGAGTACAGATTAGTGGCTATGAGATCAGCTGCTGGTTACTGAGGTTACCCCAGGGCTAGGGGTTCTGATGATGCTTAAAAAGAAAAAAGAAAAGAAAAGAAAAGAAAAGAAAGAAAAAGGAGGGCCTAACTGCTCCTATGTATGGTGGAAGAGAAGGTTTGTTGTAGATAAGAGGCACCTGGAAGAGTCCAGAGTAACCATGACCATGAACCAGGCCATGTGAGGGAGACTAGGAGACCAAGAGGTCAAAAACGGCCAAAAAAGGTAAAAGGAGTAAAAAGGCCCATGTAGCCCAAATGGCTGGATTATATTAAGGAAGAGTGGCTGGGAGAAGAGGACCCCAGATCCTGGGCTGGAGAGTTCAAGGTAGGGGGTGGGGTACACCAGCCATACCCTGGAACAGGTAGGGACTAAGGGATGCTGGAGAACCCGGAGGCCAGGTCTGCTTTGGTATGTAAATAGGCACTTCAGCCATTTGTCTGGGGTTTGAGACCTAACAGCTACAGGTAGGTGTATTTAAGAAGGGAATTCACGGGTTCTGGACTTGGGAAGTCTTACACATGAGGGCTGGGATCAAAGACAAGCTGAAATTCTTCAAGGTGAAGCATAGTGAAGGGTAAAAATAGGAGGGCCTACGGTGTGGACCTGGGTTTGTCTGAGCAGCTTGTGTGACATCCTGGCCTCCGTATCTTTCACCATCTGCTCCGGGCCACTGTATGGGAAAGCCAAGAGTATGGGAAAGAGTAGCCTTGCCCCAAAGTCTTTGGACTTTGGACTTGATGACACCTGATAACAATCCGAAACCCTGATTATCCTAGCTCCTGTGTACAGCAGGAATCAGTCTTCTGTAGGTGGTGGAGCAGGAGCAGAAATCCTTGAGTTTCTTTTATCAGAGAGGAAGGCATCCTAGCGTTCCTGGCCTGGGGCAGGTGCTCTGCTACACTAGCAGAGTGTTACACTTTCAGGCACCGGGCAGCTGACATCTGTTTGGCCCAGACCTAGAATAACTTCCCCACCGCCCGCTGCCAACCTTGAGTCTTTCCGATCCCTAAAACTAGGTCCGTGCTCTAAGCAGCTTCCCTCACCTTGTGTGACCACCCATGGAATTAGAGATATTTCTGTCCCTGCAGCTACCAGGGCCTCCATAACAGCAGCAACCCAGTTATCTCTATTTCTCATTTTTCTCATAGGGCCTTGGCCTCATGTCTGTAGGCATGAAGCATGTAGAAGCAGAAACTTCAAGGTCTGAGGATCCAGGACTCTGATCGCTCCTATCCTCCCCTTAGACCTAGCTGGTCTTTAGTATTTACTTACAACCGCAGTCTTCAGCCCTTGAGATGGGCTCTCTAGTCCTCAGAGGACAGCTGTGGCTGTGGCTGACTGAACTGGGCCTTCCTTCTCACCTAGGGCCCCATGTAGGCTAGAGATAGAAGTATCAAGGTTAACATATGGCTGGGTGTGGTGGCGCATGCCTCTACTCCCAGCACTCAGGAGGCAGAGGCAAGGTGGATCTCTGTGAGTTCCAGGACAGTCAAGGCTACATAGAGAGACCCTGTCTCGAAAAGAACATATGAAAGAAACTAATCACAGAGAAATAGCCAAGTACTCAAAACAGAAGGCTACATGTATGGACAGAGTATCTGTGTGAGAAAAGTCCCTGAAATACATATGGTGGAAAAGGTGAGTGCTATGTTAATGCCCTGTTAAAAAGTCACAACTGCTGTAGCCCAGTGCCTGTGAGGCTCCAGTTCTCTGGTTCACTTCCTTGATTGGAAATTTTCTCTTTCTTAATAAGCAATCTCTGTCACTGCCACTGTTCAGATGTCCCTGGTCCATTTCCTATAGCTACAAGAATCTGGAAATGCAGCAGGTGCCCTGCAGATTCCAATATCTGCCTCCAAGACCTAGATAGAATTTCTGTATTCCCTGGCACAGTTGGCTGAGTCAGCCAGGGCCATCCATGACCAGGATGCACCCGAGGGAGGGCCTTCTCAGGTAATTGCTCTGCATCTTTCACAGGCCTTTCCAAACAGCTAGAGAAGCTCAGATTCTGCTGGGACTGTAATGAGACAGGAACCAAGCTTTGGCACATGGGGAAAAGCCCAAAACTTGCTAAGGTTGGTGACTATGTGGAAGGTAAAAAAAAAACCAGAATCAATCAATTTGGGACCTAACTTTCATCAGACTCACACTCAAAGCCCCGCTCACCCTTTTAGGGGCTTATCCAATCTTTGAAGTCAGGCTGTGATCTGCTCAGTGGGAAGAAAGGAGACCTCTGATATGGGACACAGAAAAACCAATATTTTTATAAATGCAATCTCTTTCTAAAGAAAAAAGGGGATAGTATAGATAATGATAGGATAAAAGGATAGATTGTTGAACCTACTTTCAAAGAGCAATGACTTGCTTGAAATGTTTTACATTGGTATAGATTTTAGTTTATTGCTACACATTTAAAGTTAATTTTGTTATACTGTGTGTATATTTCTACTGTTGTTTAAGGTATTACGTTGTACAGCTCATTTAAAATTGTAATGGATAAGAAGGTGGTTTTAGTCTCAGCTCTTAGCTACTGCTCTGACCTTTTGGGCTTTTAACTCTGCATTTGGCTCTGTGTTTCTTATTTAATAAGACCGTTACATCTACAGAGACCTGATAGATGTTTAACTCCTTATTATTGAACTTAAATCTTTATCTCTTTTTCTGAGTACTTGCAATTTGGGACTGTGATATAATTTGTAGATGGTAAAATGCATAATTTTTTTTTAGACAAGGTCTCACTGTGTAGCTTAGGCTGGCCTGGAACTTGCAACTCCTGGCTTAATTTCTACAGTGTTGAGATTACAGGCATATGCCACCATGCCCAAAATATTGCACAAATTTTGAGTGCACTTCAATGAATCCTTACTTATCATGATGGGCTGACTATTGACCCTCACACATATCAGGTCAGAATTGTTGAAGCCTATAGATATTACCTGCCTTGGTGAAAGGACTTTGCAGATGTGATTAGGATTCTTATTCTTCTTTTTTTTTCAGAGACAGGGTTTCTCTGTGTAATAGCCCTGGCTGTCCTGGAACTCATTTTGTAGACCAGACCAGCCTCGAACTCACTGAGATCCTCTTGCCTCTGCCCCCCAAGTGTGTAATTAGGATTCTTAAAATAGAGAGATTATTCTGGGTTATCTGACTTAGCCCAAAGGGTGTCACTAGTCTTATTTTGGGAGGCAGAAGCAGATTGATCTCTGTGAGTTCAAGGCCAGTCTGGTTACAGAGTGAGTGCCAGACCAACCAGAGCTGCACAGTGAGAGCCTGTCTAAAAAGCAAACAAAAACAAGATTTGACTGAAGAGACAGGCAATATGAAGGCCGAAGCCAGACCCTGTCACTGCTGACATTGAAGACTGAGGAAGAAGCCAGAGCTGCAGGATGCAGCTCTGCAAGCTGGAAAGACAAGGAAACAGCCTCTCCCCACAGACTCTCAGGTTGCAAGGTGAGTCTTGCAGTTTAAGTAAAGCCCTGCTGACACATGAATTTCAGCCCATTGATGCTGATTTCAGACTTCTGACATCCGGATTTATAGAGAACTATTGTGTATTGCCGTAAGTCAAGTCTATGATAATTAGTTATAATATCTGTAGGAAACTCATACCCTGTGTACACCCACACACCCCTCCCCCCAAATTCCCTTGTTCCTCCATGAGCAATATCCCAAAGAGACCTATCACCATCTTTTCATTTGGCATGGAGTATCTGCATGTTCCAAGGGTGCAGGGGTAAGAGGGCAAAGGAATCCATCTGATAGACTGTTGGGAGCAATATTTTCAGGTCCTTATCCACTCCCACTCTGCACACCCCACTGATGTCCCAGCTAGATCGCCAGTTAGGGTGTGATACGCACGTTTCCCTATAAGGAAGCGGTGAGTTGTTTAGTAAGGCTGGTAGCACACAGGATTGCTCCCCAACCCAGTAGCCCTCTCCCCATCTTTGTAGACAGACTCACCATTTTTAGTCACATCTGCCCTCCACCAGAGCCTTTCTCGGAATATTGGTTAGGGTTGTTTCATCTCTTGAAGAGTGACTGGGTTGTCTAGGCATGATGAAATTCAGGCCACGGAGATGTGAGAGGAAATATGCTGGGGAGATTCTGAAAAAGGTTTCCTGAATGATAAAAATAAACGCACAGGAAGAGAGGCCTTCCTCTCTTCTCACTGAATAGTGCCGAGTTTGGATGCAGTGCCCAAACTGCCACAGTCCCCTTGTGACCCTGAGCATTCCTAACAACATGCTGAGGGTTGCAGATCAGAAAGATGGAAAGAACCTAGATGTGTATGACATTACTGAACTGCTGAATCTGCTCCTGGACTTAAGTGCAAGCTAATATACATTTCTTTTTTTTTTTTTTTAAAGTTAACTGAAATTTTCTGTTGTTGTGACTGAAAGCAAATCAACAGATTTTAAAATATTTTACTAGCATGTGTTAATTATACATAATAATAGGTTTCATTATGACATGTCCAGACATGGACATAATACATTTTGACTGTGTTCACCCTCATTGATCTTTCTTGTCCCTTCCCCCTCTCCCCAGCCAGTCCACTTTTGTTTTCATCCAGTGACATTGGTTTTTTTTTTTTTTTTTTTGGTTTTTCGAGACAGGGTTTCTCTTGTGTAGCTTTGCACCTTTCCTGGAACTCACTTGGGAGTCCAGGCTGGCCTCGAACTCACAGAGATCCGCCTGCCTCTGCCTCCCAAGTGCTGGGATTAAAGGCGTGCGCCGCCGCCGCCGCCGCCGCCGCCGCCGCCGCCCGGCGACATTGGGGTTTTTTATAGGAGCATGAGTTAGACTTTGTTTGCAGGAATAGGAGCACCTTACCAGCAGCAACACCATTGAAGAAAACGTCTTCCTCTACGCCATCAACCATCAGCTACACATAAATCCTCTGGGAGTGGGTGGGGCCTCATGAGCTCCTCCCCCTTCATGTAACGGGAGGGGTCGATGAGCCCAATTCTGTTTAGACCTTGTACAGGTAATTATAGCTGCAGGAAGTCCAGGACTGTAACAGCCATGCCAGGCCTGGAATTCAGTGTTCCACACTGCTCCCCCACCTTTCTCTGCCTCTTACATTCTTTCCAAATCAACAGATTTGAGTGGGATGTGGACAAGGGCATTGGCTCAGTGGGGGAGGATGGAAAGGTGATAGATAGATCAGCTACTGGGAACTACCTACATGATCA